CTGCTTTTCAACAGAATACTGTTTAGTAATTTTCAAAATATTACTGCTATAATTAATTAACCATTATTAAGGTTATGCAATCATTTTGTGGGTGCAGTCACGTTATTAATATTTTCTTATTTTAAATGATCAAACATTTATCAATTGATTCAAAAAGAAAGAAGTGTGGTCAGCCAGGGAATACTGGTGACCACACCCACCAGAACTTGCTGGTGTTGACTGTGATACTAAGACTTACTCTGTAGTGGGTGCTTCTAAACAACCAGAGCCTGCTCTTAAAAGCAGGTAATTTTGGAAAAGCAATCGTGGGACGTACTATAACAATATTCATAACATTGTAGTGGCTTATGGGACCATGGCAACCAACTTGAATAAACGGAGTGATCAATATCAATCACTGCCTCTATCAACATGTATAGTTGTAAATGTACATGTACATGTACCTCCTTCTCTCCCTTTCTCTTCCCCTCCCTCTCACCTCATCTGGTAGTAGGTTCAGGGTCTGTGGGTGAATGCTAAAGTGTCTCTTGTCCATACTTCCTATAATTTCTCCTCTGAGTCTCATGGCTAGAGTGCCTCCATTCTTCAGAGGAACACTCTGACTATGAGCACTGCCAATGGGACAGGAAAAAGTCAATTCCTACACAAAAGAGTCACAGTATTTACTCATCTATTAGTACATGCTTGCATTACCTGCATTGATCGAGGTAGGTAGAGTTTGGCAACACCGACTCTTGCTTGGACTGGAATACTCTCCAATTTAATGGAGCTCCCTCCTATCAGTGGACCATCAATGTAGACATCAATTTGTGAGCTACAATTCTCAATGGGGCCACTATCTACATGTGTATTAAATATAATATGCAACAAAATTAATAATAATAATAATGTATTTACAATTGACAGATCTTGAAGGAGGAATGAATTGCAGCATTACTGTAGTCACAGTTGATTCAACCTGTAATAAAAAGATGTACACACAAGTTACACATGTACATGTATATAAATGTATAATTAATGTAAAATACAGAATATAGTAATGTACATACTTCTTGTCCTTGTTTCTTTGGTAAAGTTAGTCTCAGTGTAGTTGAATTAGTAACACTGCTACTGACTGGGAGTGCACTACTGTAACCAATGGAGCTATTGTGTGAAGAATCTAAAGCCATTGAATCACTAATGACAGCCATTGAATAGCAATACCAGTACTGAGTGGACTATACAAGAGGAAAGATATAAGTATATTCTCTTTCTTCTCTTACTGTTGCTAGAGTAAGTCTAATCGGGACTGCTGTCTCTCCATGATTCACAATATAAAGTGGAAGGATTGAGCTACGACCGGAGCTACATGCACCAAAATCAATAATCAAATGCTGATCGTTCTCTTCTCCTTTAGCTCCTCCCCTTCCTTCACTTGAAGTGAGGAACTGAAGGTGAGGACTAACAGCGACTCCTAACAGGGTCACTGATCCCAGGAGGGCTCCAGAGAGAGATGAGAACAGCTGGACTATTCCTTTATAAGTACC